GAGAGAGAGAGAGAAATGAAAATTTCTTCAAAAATATTGTGAATTTATATAGTATTTATAAAGACTGAATTATACGAGATAATATTCTATTATCGAAGACAGTGCAAAGGAAATAGATATGGATCAGATATGGAAATAAGAAATAAATTTATTATTCAGGAATTATAAAGTTTATATTTTAATTTCCTAACTGTTAAGATATATGAAAGAACTATTATTAAAAGATCTTTAAATGGCATTGTATGATATTTAAGATATAACAAAAGCGTTATTTTTCGTATTTTTTGTATTTTGAAAAATTTCATTTTTAAAAAGTTTTTTTACGGAACTAATAGCTTTACTTGTAACAAATTTTTATCTTTTTTCTCGATCCGCTTTTATATGGAGGTATATCACGATACCCATACCGTACGTCCAGCGATACTCGACGTTGCACGCAAAATAAAAATGTAGTAGGAAAATCCTGTGTAGTCCACTTTCCATGATTTACCCCCCCGTGTACACGCACACAAACATGTCTCTCTCTCTTGGTCTGGATGATATATACACCCTCGCCGGCGTAGTATCCGAGATAATTTGAATTCGCCGAGTGGAATATAATTTAATAAAACTTTACCGCGCGGAATTCACATTAGCTACGCATTACCTTAGCTCTCCTCTGCCTCGGCTGCTTACTTTACCCCGAGGTTATTTTCGCAAGCAAGCAAATTTCTTTCGTAAGATTTACGACAGTCACGATGTTACGTTCCGATAGCATTTCAAGAACTTCGAAATAATTTCCTTTTGGCCTTATCGACTACGCCTGCACGTGTTCTGCGTAAATAACTACCAATTCGCGCGATTAACTCGTGTAACTCCAAATTGCGAAATTCGTGTAAATACAAAACGAAAAAAAAAAATAATAATATATATATATATATACTATCCATATTTCATGCCGTTTAAAATCGTTTAATTTCGCATTTCTTTGTCAAAAATCAACTAATGATTTTTCGATAACAGAGAAATATTTAGGATATTTACCATAAAAAAATTTATGATATGTCCAATCACATGAAATATTCAATTTTCTATAGAAAATTCAATATGAAATTCGGTTTAATATTAATTTCTGCAATGGAATTGGATATACATCGAGGACGCACTGCAAAGGCGTGATTTAATATAATATCCATGATGCAGAGTTTCAAAATCACTCAAAATCGCCTCAACAATTTATATTGACTACATTGTGTTGAAAATTTCAATAATAATTTTGCAGACTGCAAAAATAGTCACGTTAAATAAATATTTTACTATATACATTAAGAATATCAAAACGTAAATTAATCAAATAAATGTTATGCGAGATAATCACTTTTAGGTAATCGTTATTATTGTTGATTGCATAGCGATATGCATGTACAACAAATAATAATTATGCAAAAATAGACATGTTACGTTATAATCGTGAGTAATAAATTAAATTCAATAAAATTATTTTAGATAAAACTAATTATTTTAGATAAAAATCTAATAATTACCACATATTTTATTCTTTTATATCATTAATTGATTGTTCGAATTAAGAATCGGATTAATTATTTTTTCTTATTCTCTTTCCTACATAATGATTGCGAACAAAAATAAACAAAAAGTTGAGACTCCATTAAAAAAGCCATATAAGACTTTAATTGTTGCTTTTTTCGCGATATTGATTGTTCTTTCGTTTTGCTCACTTCGTGTTACGAGCATAACTGTCAAATGTTAATATTGATACTTGCGTGAGATTTTAGTGACGAGTTATAATATGTGATGTAAATATTTTATATAAAAATATATGATGTTAAAAGATAAATAGTCCACACTTTATTCTAATGTTCTAGTGATAAAAAAATCGTATATAATCGTAACATATTAATTTATTCATTAATAAAAAAATTCTTTTTCATTATTTTTTGATTCTCTTCCTTTTTTAGTTTTTTTTTCAAT